CCGGCCCCGGGCCGCCCCATCGAGTCGGCTCCCCAGTCGGCGCGGCCCGCACCGTCAACTCGGCCCGGCCGCCGCCAGCCAGCGCCCTCGCAGATATAGAAAGCCGTAATCGGCTTGCTGAGTGAAAAGAAAAACAGCGGCGGTGGCGGCGGCGCGGCCCGGCCGGTCGATTGCTGGTTATTGGCCGGCTGAATGAACTGCAGGCAGCGCGCCTCATTGGAACTCATCTATAAACGCGCACCGCGGGATTAGTGGCGGCGGCGGCGGCGGCGTGGGCTGCTGCAGAGTCCGGCCGGCCGGCGCGTGCCGCCGCCCCGGCCGCCGGCCACGCTCAAACAACCGGATTACACGCGTCTGGTATGGAGATGTGTGCCGACAGCAATGGGCAATTTACGCTGGATGAGGTGTGTGGCGCGGCCAGCTAATGGATACTGATTGGTATGGATTATGAGCACATCGTCTCCGCACAGATTACCATCTGCTGCCGGCTGGATTATGACAGTGTGACTGCGATCGGTCTGTTTGTAGGTGTATATTGACAGATGCATTTATTGCACTGTTGTGTTTGGGGATTCATATATACCTTACCACTCCATGACATAACTATCTACCATTCAAACACGATCCAAGATTTCCGATGTCAAAGTATGCATGCCGTTATTGGCAGCAAGCATTTGGATTCCTTTGACACGTCATGACAGACCCAATTAAATGTAAAAAAAAAACGATACTAACTTCTGTGATACCAGAATAACTACAGCATTTCTTTATTCAAGTTACACAGAGAAGGTATAACAAACACCTGCAGATGTTCATCACTTATCATCTGCACCTTATCAATACAATTAGGTACTCAATCACTTTTGCTCATCCGTCACACAAACTACATATGTATACCTAACGGTAGGATTAGGTGTGCGTGGATTAGGTAAGAACTTGTGATGGGTATAGGTAAGTATATTAAACTATTTTCATTTGGCTCAGACGTTTAGTGTAAATGGCCATCGTCGTCATGACCAGCACTTAAATGAAGTGACTTCAACCTGCCGATGACTACAAAAACTAAAGTGAAGTGATACTTTTATAGGGATTTCTCTTCAGGGCCCTGAGAGGCGCGATTAGGGCATGTTGCGTCTAAAGACTCTTTTTGCAATGGTTTGGAAAAAGGCTTTTAGTGGTTAGTTGTCATAAAAAATGTTTATTCTTGCGAGAGTTAAGAAAGATTTTATCAGAACAAAATGTTTAAGGATCGCAATTAAGATGATGACACATTTACAACAAACACGTATTAATTAACCCTCGCCGGACCTATTGGTTTTCTACATACGCGCCGGCCGAGGGGGGGGGGCGGGTACGACCCCCCCCTCGCCGTTTCGCCCCTGGTGGAGCTAGCGCGTCGCGGAAAAAACGAGCGTGTGCGCCGTTACGAGACGCAGAGATTGGTACCCGATTTTAAGGTCCTAGGTCAACCGGTGACCTCTGAGGTCAGGTCAAGTGCCCCAAGGTACGGTTCAGTTTTTGGTGAATAACTTCGCAAAAAACGGCCGCAGAGCGCCGATTTTGGCAGCATCGTGTTCGTCTCGCTCAGGCGCGTCGAATGATATACTTTTTGTCCGGGTCAGGTCAACTTGGGGTGTTGACCTCAGGTCAAGGTCAGGTCAGCACCCCCAGGTCACGAAGTTGGTCGAAAGGGGTCATGTCGCATATCATTCGATTCGGCAGGTCTTCCTGAGTCCATTGGTGGCTTTCCCGACTCGCTAGCTCAATTTGATCAAGAGTTATTGACGAAAAACTAATATGACCTTGATGACGTCATAAATGACGTCACGCAAGGTCAACATTGCAAAAGTGACGCATCTAACCTTGCAAGGAGTGCATCAAATCACGATTCTGTGTGCTTGAGATAGTTGGAGATCGTTCCCGGCGCCAGAATAGCAGTTTTCATTTTTCCCCATTGACTTATAATGGTGAGGTCACGAAAATGACCTGACCTCATATGACCTTTAGGAAAAATCCGAGATATACAAGTTGTGGGACTCATAATGGATACTAGATCCTGCAAGTTTCATTTCCCTGTGACATCTCCTCTGGCAGTGAGGGCGTTGCGAAGTTGCGACATCTGAAGACCGTGCAGAGGTTCACTTATGACGTCATAGGTCAGTGACCTGACCTGACCCAAAAATGCGGTTGGTGTCAAAAGATGCAGCTTGGATCAAAGGTCAGGTATGCCAAGTTTCAGCTCTCTATCGCCAGCGTGTTCGGAGCTATCGCGAAAAAACCCTATGGGGGGGGGGGCGGCACCCGCAGGGGCCCGGGAACGATTTTCAAGTTGGGGGGGCGAGCCTAAAATACCTGACATGATGCATATGAAACAGTATCGTAGCTAGGGGTCTAAGGGGACACGTACCCCCCCCCCATCGGGTTCAAAGGGATCCTCGGGTCCGAGGGGCCCTGCGGCGCCATTTGACCGCTGAGGGCTAACGATGGCCATATTTTGACTCAGAATGGCCCCATGGGGCTCGTTAGAGGACCTCATGGGCCCTAAATAGCCACACTTAGATCTCTATAAGGGCCCCACGCCGGCTTCTGAGGGCCTCTTGCGGCTTTTAAGAACCCCTCGGTGGTCCCCAAAGGCCCATTACTGGCCTCTGAGAGTTCTTACCGGCCTATGAGGGGCCAGTTCTAGGGGCATTTCCCGCCTGTGATGGTCCCACACTTATTTTTCTGAGGGCCCCAAAACGGCAACTGTGGGGGCTCTCATCGACGCCTATGAGGGCCCACACCGGTGTCTCTGGGGGTTTCACACCCCTAACTCTGAGTGCCTACACCAGTGCCTATTAAAGCCCTATATCGGCGGCTCTGAGGACCCAACAGTCAGCACCTGCGCATCTAAAGGCCACTCATTGGTGACTTTTGAGGGCCCCACACCGGTGACTCTGAGGGCCCCACCGGCGTCTGACAGTACCATGCCGGTCTCTAAGGACCCCACAGGACTTCTTCTGCCGGCCCCTTGCCGGTCACTGAGAACCCCCTGCCGCCTTGTAGAGGGTTCGCGTCAGCAGCTCTAAAGGCCCCACACCCGTCTGTAACGGCTCCACACCAGCGTCTATGATGGTCCACAGCAAAGCCTGTAAGGACCCTCACCGGCGCCTCTGAGAGAATCACACTAGCACCTCTGAGCGCCCACACCGGCACCCGCATGACGGCCCCACACCAGTGCCTCTAAAGGCCCCTTACCGGCGGCTCTGAGAGCCCTACGCCGGTGATTCTGAGGGCGCTACCCATAACCGAAGGTACCACACAAACCCTTAGTGTCGCTGAGCTTTCATCACATACCGGCCTTCCGAGGGTGCCACGTCAGTGCACTCATTGCCCCACACCCCTTCCTCACACCCGGAGCGGGTAAACTGTGTTATGCCTATAGCAACGATTTTACCACCGTTGTACGTTATGTATTTCTCAAAGTTGATTCAAATGGTCCAGTATAAAATCTGGCCTGCCAAACTTTTGGCAAAGGTCAGGCCCAAACCAAAGCGGGATGACAATAGCAGAAGTTATCAAATCGATACTGAACCATTCAGATGGCAAGGAATATGCCATGTGTTGATGTTTAGATGTATAAAAGAAACGAGAAGGAAATAATTCCGGAAAAGGGAGGAAAGATCCTTTATCGCTGCCTCAATGTTGAGGGGGCGCCGCCCCCTCGGCTCTCAAGTTGGGGGGGGCAAGCGCCCCCGCTGCCCCCCCCCTGTTCCCGGGTCTATGGGCACCCGCCCCCCCCCCTCGGCCGGCGAGGGTTAAAAACTGCTGAGGGCAGCTTTTCGCTTAGCATTAAGTTTTATGTGCCCCAGCATTAGCTGGGTATGGGTGGGTAGGTACAGTAGGTATACTCTTCCCTAAATGCTCACCGACCACCGTCAAATACCTACCCAACCCTGAACCCGGCCTACCGACTTCCGGTTTGGTATTTCAAAGCAAATGTTCTCGGTATATTGTGGGCTGCTTAAATTCTTGCTGAGTCACCTACTATCTTATGTTTTGTGATGTAAGTTTTTCTGCCTTTTTCCAAGCTGGTTGCATTTATTCCCCTTATTATTATCATTACTATCATTATTTTTAAATGACCTAAAACTGACCACTGAACAAAAGATAATGCAACCTTGCAAGATCCTGGAACCTGTGCAGTGTACCTAACCGCCCTTAGTCGTCAAGGTATCCAGTATTGTATGTTAAACAGCTGTTCCCCTATTTATTTTTATTTCGCACGATTAAGAATCAGGCATTGAACCGTTGGGGGGGGGGGGGGCTGGGGAGTGGGGTGCATAGACGTGGGTAAGTATAGGTAGGTATGCCCAAAGACCGATGTTGTGTTGTATTGATCGCCAGTATACTAAAAACTCGCCCACCACCAAATGTTTTGTTGCCATTCTCTTCCATAGATGGGTCCTCAAATACGATACGGCTACATTTGTGTATCGGGACATGGGCATGTAGGTAATGGCGCCTCTTTCCCACCATCTATAACCATGAGTCGGATGACTATTCCTTCAAGAAGAATTGTGGAGGCCCGAGCTTAGCAACGGAAACGCATATTAAGCTACATGTAACACAAGCCCATAATCTGATCATATCTTCACAACAATCTGATCATATCTTCCGCGAAGCCACTGTATCCAGTGATGCGTCTGCCTGTGCGCCGTATGAACTGTCTCCCCCCTCTAGCCGGTTGCCGTGTTGGCAGAACAGTCGGCGAAGCGGGTCAGTGGCAGTGCGGCCCCGGCCGGTCCTTCAGCCCCGCCCCACCCCACCGAGCGGCCGGCCGGCCCGCCGCCCGCTGACATGTTGCATTTGCCAGTCGGCGGCGGCCGGTGGGCGGGGCCACGGCTCTGATTGGTCGGCGGGCCGGCTGCGGCCGAGCGACTGACGCCGAGCGGCGCGCTGATTGGCTGCCGGCCGGCGGCCGCGGCGGCGGAGTGGCGCCGGCCTGTGAGGCCAGTCGTGGCCAGCGCGGCGGCCGCAGCAGCCTCAGCCGAGCAGCGGCGCCGCACCGTTTGCCTGCCCCTGGAGGTGGTGCCGGACGCGGATACAGGTGAGTGGGACAGGTGCAGGACACCGGTCTGTCCGACCGAGACGCCGCGCTGTCCGCCCGCCCCGCAGCGGCCAGCCGGGCAAATAGCCGAGAGGTGGCCAGCGGCCTTCTTTTCAGCTGTATCCCTGAATTCGGTCACCCGTAGCTCCCACGTTGACGGTACTGATGCTTACCTTAGAAAAGGGACGGGCCAGAAATGTGTTCGCATTTTCACAACTATTAAGCTACACCCAACTGTTGTGGCCCACTAAGACACCTTCCAGAAGGTACCTAATTGTAGATAAACTTTAACCTTATCTTTATGTCCAATGAAGAATCAAAACTACTGAAAAATATCTTATAGAATAATAATGCCTGGCAGCAACTGCCTCTGTCACAAAACCTCAGTTCAGACTCCAGAGCACTCTCATACTGATAGACCGATCACTGAGGCAATTGATTTGTGCTTTATTTAAATAAAAGAGTATGCCGATCGCTGACGACCGTAAATTGTAGGCAATGAAGAACTTAGTCGTATTGTTTCGCTTGCGTGATATATAGGTACTTTTATTGATGTCCCTCAAAGCCGTTATTTTGCCGGTATATGGGTAAGTGGTTAGCAGCAACTGTCAGTAGCGGCGGTACACCTTCAATTAAGGGGGGGGGGGGGGCAGTGACGACTTTTGGTCCCATTCCTTCCATGAAACGCCTATAGGGCTAATGTTAAAATGCCAAAATCAAAGGGGGGCGCGGTGCCCCGGTGCCCTCCCCGGTTCCGCCGCCTATGCCTGCTGTGACCTGGCGTTTTGGGAGAGATAAGAAACGCCGAATACAATATTGTAATTTATTTTTTATATATTTAAGTTACGTTTGTTATTTCTCCCACGTCAGGTCACAGAAGTAACGTTGTTACACCACCCCATAACAACGAAATGAGAGCTTCGATGTACACCTTGTAGACGGTGTACACACCTTGTATACACCTACTTGTATACACTACTTGTATACGTTTGTACACCTTGTAGACACATCACAACCCACGCAACACACCTCGGATTTTAACTAGGTACCTACCTAGGTACAGTTTTACGGTCGTCAAAGATCCGCGCTCTTTCATGGAAGTGGAACACAAATCAACGTCCTATCAGTATCTAGTTATATCTTTGAGAGTGCTGTCGACTAACCTGATGGTTATGTTTAACGTTATTTAACAATTGCATATTTGCACTTCATATTTGCACCCGTTTTTAGCTCCCAAGTCCCAACAATCAGAATTCAAAGCAAGTCTGACTCGCATTCAGAATGGTTTTCATACTTCACCAAAACTGTGCTATATTCAAGCACGTTAAGTGTTTAGCACTTGTGAATAGTCGGTTCGCAGCACCCATTAATCTGTTTTTACAGTGCATAGGTATTTGCCTCGATCCGCGTCAAGTGTTTGTTTCCCATTTGCTTATCTTAAATATATTTTACTTCTTACTCTTTGTCATTCTTACTATTATCCCTCCAATGCTACGAACTTTCACTCCTCTTTCAAATTTACTTGTCCCTTCCCCAAACCGGGGGACAATTTTCAGTTGAACTCTAATTTCGTCAAGTTCGGGAGCTGAGGGAGGCATCAACCATTGTCTCCACCGTTTTCTAACTGGATGTCAGTTTAGATTCACAGCACCGTCTCCGTATGCTGAACCTTTGACGCACCCGATTAAATAACACCTAAAATTAACGCTCGACACTGATCGGGCCGAAACGATAAATAATTTGTTTATATGATTTGGGGGGGGGGGGGTTGGAAAAATAGCGTCAGACGTTGCAGTGGGGAGGGGCTTAGCTACCTACAACCTCAAATGGTTCCCCAATTATATATGAAAAAGTAATCGAATTTCGCTTGCTCGTGCCTTGCTGTGAAGTTTTCTCATGAATTAGAAAAAAAAAGTTTCTCACGTTTTTTACGGGGAAACCAGCCGCCCGGCAACATTTCGCCAATGTCGAGCGCTAAGGGTAGTGGTTAGCGCCACTGCCCCAAATACCCCTCCTTGGATTCGTCAGTGCGCTATCGGTCAACACCATTTCAAGATCGTGGGGAGACAAAATGTAAAGCTAAGGAGCTAATGCACGCTGATGCGTCGTGCTGATGAGACCTGGCTGGTGCGCCGAAACGGCAAAACCGTCCTGTTGGGACCCGTCACCGGTGTGTCCAGGTACTGAGGTGACGAGTTCCCCAAGTGTCCCGATGGGACAGCCCACTCAGCCGCCCAGACGGTCACCCCGGAGCTGACCCAGGGGCGCCGGAACTACTTTCAGACTGTGGGGGCACACCATAATAAAGATCAACCTAGGGTACCCCAAATCTAGTTTTATCACCGGTTTTAGGCCACTTGCTTTTCCAACAAAAAAGAAAACATTTGCAAAAAAGTGCGGGATTCCGTCTCAAAGTTGTGGGGCCACCGCCCCACGGCACTATGGAGTTGTGGGGGCAAGTTGCCCCCGATTCCCGCGCCTATGAGCTGACCTCTGGAGGTGAAATAAACTCCGAGAGATAAACCCCTCCGAGTTGCAACCATGAACCAATGTTGTACCGGAAACGCAAGACCCAGCCGCTATAGCGCATGCAGTCGGCGCGGTGGTCGAATAAGCCCAATGTCTCCCCCTGACTTCTCGTTCCAATTTCCACGACCCTGATGTGGTCAAAATACGGCGAACGGGCCTAATCCATAACCCAACAAATTAAAAATGCAGTGGAAAGCGTAATTGACACTTCACGACGGATGCCAAGCGTCAAGCAGATCCAGCGAGACTCTTTGAGTCCCGATGCACCTAATTTAGCCCGATCTAGTCAAGGTTCGTAAGTTCTACGATGAACGTTCACACTTTACCATGGCACTGTTACTGATGGTGACCCGATTTTTCTCGGGTACATTTCTATTCATCTTGGGACTTGGGATGTCCCATGTTCCTCGTTATCTATATTACTAATCTAACTAGTAGCTCCCAATATCGCTCGGCTGTTGGCCGCACTCTGCCGGCCGCTCGTTCTCGGGCTCCATGATGCATGAAGTTCGACCATACTTACGACTTGCGTACATTTCACTCGATTTGAGGCGGCCAGCACGGTTGCTGAGCTTTTATATAGTTTGACCAACGACTACCAATATCAGATAACCTTGACGTTTTCCTTCATCTTTGACAGGGCAATAAAATGGCAACTCCACAAAAGTCAGAGGGTGACCAGGCGGCCGGTGACGTCACTTCTCCGGTGACGTCACCTGCCCAAGCGGCCACAAGCGGCGGCGGGCGGCTCAAGTTCAGCATCGCCAGCATCATGGAGTTCGAGGACGAGAGGTCGACAGAGTGCCACCGCCAGTCGAGCGAGCCGGGAGAGGAATCAGACGCAACAGGGGAGGACTCCGAGCCGAGCGGCACTCCGTGCGAGGGCAGCAGGGACTCGGAGGAGCTCCAGGAGGAGTCAGAGGACGGTCAGCGGGCGGAGGAGCGCAGCCCGCAGTCGGACGGTCACGGCGCCGGGCCGCAGCGGGACGCGGCGCTGCCGACGCGGCCCTGCGCCGGCCGGCTGGGCGGCGCGCCGAGCGCCGACGGCGGCGTCAGTCTGCTGCACCGCTCGCCGTGGCTGTACCAGTACTACAGCCTGGCGTCGGCCGGCGTGCTGCCCACCCTGCCGCCCTACTCGCTGCTCTCCAAGCCGTCCGCCTTCAGCCAGTACCCGGGGGCCGCGGCGGCGGAGGCGGCGGTCGGCGCCCGGCTGGCCAGTCCCGAGAAAGGGCCGGCCGCCAGTCCGCCGGCCAGCGCGGCGGCCACCTCCACCCGGCCGGCAGCCGGAGCCGCCAAGGGCAAAACCTTCACCTGCCCCGAGTGCGGCAAGGTGTTCAACGCCCACTACAACCTGACGCGCCACATGCCCGTGCACACGGGCGCCCGGCCGTTCGTCTGTAAGGTGTGTGGCAAGGGCTTCCGGCAGGCGTCCACCCTCTGCAGACACAAGATCATCCACACCTCGGAGAAGCCGCACAAGTGCAAGACGTGCGGCAAGGCCTTCAACCGCAGCTCCACTCTGAACACGCACATGCGCATCCACAGCGGATACAAGCCGTGGGTTTGTGAGTTCTGTGGAAAGGGCTTCCACCAGAAGGGCAACTACCGCAACCACAAGCTGACGCACAGCGGCGAGAAGGCCTACAAGTGCCACATCTGCAGCAAGGCGTTCCACCAGGTCTACAACCTCACCTTCCACATGCACACGCACAATGAGAAGAAGCCGTTCATCTGCGAGCTCTGTGGTAAGGGATTCTGCCGTAACTTCGATCTGAAGAAGCACACGCGGAAGCTGCACGAGTCGGAGCCGGGCGGTACGGACGAGGCCGAGCCGGTCGCCAGTCTGTCCGGCGGCGGCGAGGCGTACCGGCCGGCGGCGGCTAGCGGTCCGCTGCTCACCGCCGGCTACCCGCTGCTGCCGCCGCTCGGCGCGCCCTTCCCGGCACTGCTGGGAGCCCACTCGGCGGCCGGCCCGCTCCGGCTGCCCCCCTACCTGGACCGGCTGCACTACACCCACCCGCTCTGAGCCCCGCTATACCACTCCCCTCTTACTGCCCCCCCCCTTCCAGGACCGGCTGCACTACAAACACCCGCTCCGTGGCCCCCTCCGACTATCCCTTACACACCCCCACTCTGAGCCTCCCCTCTCCCCCCCCCGTGTTCTCTACTCACACCAGCAACCACCCTTAGGTGACCGCGCGCGCCCGGACCCACCTATATGAGATACCGTGTAGACCAACACCCCTTATCTGAGGTGGAGCTTGCACCTCTTCAGTCCAACCCACCTCGCCCAATAAGTGTGACATTACGTGGCGGCGTAGCCCGCTTAGTCACGCATCTATTGTGAGTCTTCACAGAGTTCACCAATACTGTTACTGAGCCCAGCGTTTCGCCGCAACAGCCAATCCAAGAGAGCTCCTTAGACGATCAGGTGACCAACCTCAAATGGGAGAGAACTTGACACACCGCGTAGAGTCTGAACTTGTAATCTATCTGCTATTGGTTTCAAGCGTAATCGACGGCCACGTTCTGGATCGAGCTTTTCGTTTATTTATTTATTTAATTACCGCACGGCGCGTCTCACCAATACTCACTTCAGTCCCCCGAGAGTAAATGGGACGCGGCAGGTGGTGTATAGACAGTTAGGTACGTGCTGATCCGTTGTTGGGATGCGTTGTGTAATATTGACTATAGCCCCAGTGAGGCACCAGGAAGACAGGGCACGCTGTCAGTTGCTCCGTTATCGGCCTCACGCTCGGCCTGTGTACCAAATATTTCCAGCTGTGCAATACCTGAACCGCGGAGGCGACAACTATGGTCTGTGTGTTATGAAGGACAGCATGTTGAACAAAATATATTGACGTAGAATATAACGGGATCTTAATGGAAAACGTTTGTGAGTGAATCGATGGTGCATTGGTCTGTGGTGCGTCGGTGCCCATTTGCCTTTCAAGGCAGTGCCTGAGTTCCACCAAACACCTTGCAGCCTTTCGCCTTAACGCCCTTAGACAGCTCACATTCAGCCCATATCCACTATTCATTCCCGATTCATCCCAACTATATTCACATATTCAGGCTCCTTGAACGACTCAGAACGTGCGCCATGGCACCTTGCACCCTGGTCCGTGACCGACGCCACCAGTTCGTCAACAACCATCGTCAACAGTTCGACCTCCCAGGCGTCAACAAATGGACTTGCAACACATCAGATCGCCCTTCGTATACACTACACTTACAGGCATGGACAAACTCACAAACGAATGCAGTTCGTTACCGGAACTGTTTGGTGCTCTTTGGCTTTAACACGCGCACCGACGGGGGGGGGGCGGATATCCGCCCCCTGAGGTTTTTCGCGAATAGCGGGAAAACCGACGACTATTCTCTCATCAATTTTACACATGGTGGGCAAGTTTGAACCTCCTAACTTTTAAGGTCAGGTCACCAGGTCACTTTGAATGACCCAACCACAAGTCACTTTTTTGCAACTTTGTCACCGTGCCAGAGCTACAGTAGATGTCGGAGGCCTTTGAAAGTCGCAGGATGTTATTAGGTCATTAGTAGCTACAATTTGTAGGTAGGTATATCTCGGAATTTTGATATCGGTGTCAGGTCAATTTCTCGACCTCCCCATTATAAGTCAATGGGGGAAAAATCAACTCCCTGTTTTTACCACTAAAACGGGTCGGAATGGCCCCATAAACCATACATGACCTCATATACGATCAACCTTCACTACCTTGAGGTCTGTTTTGCTGTTGGGCAGCTGTAAGGTCATGTGACGTCATCAAAGGTCACCAGCGGTTTTTTGACAATAACTCCGTACAGGAACAAGATACAGCCGCGCGGATGGTCTCATTGTGGTCAGCTCGTCAAGGCGCATCGAATGATATACATGATGACCTCGAGGTCACGTGACCTGAGGTCAACCTTTGACCTTGACCTTTCGAGGTCAACATATATATCATTCGATGCGGATTGACGAGAGGATCACGATGGTGCCCTTAGTTTGTTCCTATATTGACTAGTTCGGAAGTTATTCGAGAAAAACCCTCTCCATACTTAGCGCCGCCATTTTGACTTTTTTGACCCCTGTGACGTTATCTTTGACCTGACCTGAAAATGACCTTAATAAAAATTGTAGACCTTGTCCGTGCGTATCCCTTGCCGTTTACCGCTTGTCGCTATCTTGCTTCGTTCTCGAGATCTCAGGGGGGGGGGCGGTCATCCGCCCCCCCCCGTCGGTGCGAAGTTGGCGCAGACCCCCGTCGGTGCGCGGGTTAAATCCCAGATGTCAACAAAGGTCGCCTGACCGAAATTTGTTTCAGATATTGTGACCTACCCAATTGAATACATCTTTTGGCAGGTCGTAATGGCGTCTACACCAATCCACTCCTTCATTAGCAGGTTTCTTCCAGTGATGAAGTGACTCATTTTACGAGTCACGTTGGAAATGTACGGCACAGCATATCTCCAGTGAGTAGGACACCTTCCTGTAGCCCAGCGATCAGTTGACATAGTGCGATGTTGTTCGGTTGGTATATTTGGCTAGCTCGAAACATGCCCCCCTTTCTAAAACTACAGGTCAACCCCAAGTGAACACCCCTGCGCTCGGAGCCTGGCCCGGCGGTGCGAAGGAGCCGCGGTGCACGGCTGTCGCCACCGGCCATCACTGGCCAGCTAAGTGTCACTCAGAGAAATGTCAGTGGGCGCGGGCCGGCGCGTGGCCTTGTGGCCAGACGGGCGGCGGGGCGGCCGTTACCGGGCCGGTCGGTCGGTCATCAGCCGGCGGCCGGCGCCGTACCCGCCGACCTGACCCCGTGCACAGCCCCGTTGATGGACAGACGTCCCTCGGTCGCTGCCGGGCCCAGACACCCGCACACCGGCTGACCCCGCACGCACCCTGCACTTACTCTCTGCAAACCCAGGCCGAAAGTTCTGAATGAGTAGATTTGTGTCGGACGAAAGAGAACTTTAAAAAGCGTGAGTCATTCGGATCATTCGGACTAGAGATTGCAATCCCGGAACGTTTTGACAATCCCGGGATCCCGAAAGTTTTCATTTCGGGATCCCGGGATCCCGGGATCCCGATCTTGTCACTATAGGTCGTAAGAATAATTTCCTACTGACATATTTTGCGTCTTTTAGCTTACCACAAACAAAGAGGCAACCAAAAGCCATCCTTAGACCATGTCATTTGCAATGAACACGATTGAATTTGCGAAAGAAACGTTTCGATTTGATTAGTAGGTATTACCCCAATTGGCCTTAATAAAACTGTGCGCCGACCAGTGCGTTTACTATCTCGTCATTCAGACGGGTTCCAGCACATCCACGCCTCACAAACTCTTCGTCTACGCTACTCGTATTAACGCGACAGTTTTAAGCCATTGCTGGTAGGTCTGTCTATTTTAAAACTCGCGACCAGTGTACGCAAAATTTGGCAGCTCCCTATTTCACAAGGTTTTCAAGACGTCGATTGGTCACTTCACCTTCCGGTTCCGCTTTCATCACTAATGTCTCTCAGATTTTGCTCCAAAGTCGCTTTGAGGGCAGAGTCACTGACTGGGAGAGCTCCACTCTACCGTCTTCAACGTTTGAATCAGTGAGCTCTGCCGTCACTTGCTTGACATCTGTGGCATCTTTCTGCGACACGAGCTCAAACACTGTCTTGATGACCTCTTTTGTTCCGGCCACGGACGGACAAGTCAGAATCGCTTAACTCCACGACCCGAGATCCTGATAGAGATGTTGCTGCACTGATGCTGCAATTTTTTGACGTTCGGGACCCTTTTTCGTACACATTTAAAGGGACCCTCCCACCTTCAAGAAAGTTTATGAATTGGCATTAAAGTGATGTCGCTCGGTTCAGAAAGAGCGAAAACGAATATCTACCAAATTTCACCGAAAAATATTCACCGGTTTTCAAGATATTAGACTTTTACTTTTGTTTACTTTTTTGGGATCTCCGCTGTTTCTAGCGACTTTAATTTAGAAGTGCGGCGTTTGCGGCAGATGTTGCGCGCAAATAGCATATACCACCGCGTGCTACAAAACGTTTTAGTCAAACATTTAAAAATCGTTAGATATTTGCGCTGACGTCACACATTCAGAGGGGTATTCCTAAGCATTAGCCCCTCTGAATCAAAATGCTGCAATTTTGAAATTCAATATTTCCGATTTAAGGCATTTCTCGATGTTGTGAGTGCCGAAACCGGTAATTGTGAGCCAGGGACCCCATTTTGGCTATCTCAACTCAAATCTAATGTTAAGGTGGGAGGGTCCCTTTAAGCGGCTTATCCGCTGTGGGTGATACCCGGGAGCTACCAACACGGTCAATTGTGGACGGCCGGTACGGGGTGTCAGCTAAATAGTTTCTCTGCTTTATGTCACTAAGCACCATGAACAGTGTAAACAAGACTCGTGCAGCGGCTGCATTTTTTTTTTATGGTGAAAAACTGTTTTTTTCGGGATCCCGGGATTGGCGGAATTTCGGGATCGGGATCGGGATGGGATTGCAATCTCTAATTCGGACGAAGCCAGCGGTATGCTGTTTGACCTGATTGGGCCACCCACTACGACTATGGCCTACAACTATGGCCTGATGTTCGATCTGCTCTTCTATAAACGATACAAGATCGGTATTGCTTGACATTGGATCCTATTCTACACGACGATACACCACTGGGAATAGCAGTGACTATCCCCTATGTCATGCACAGTTTTCACTAATCATTTCACATATTCATTAATCGTTTACATATTATATATGTGTTGGTAATCCTAATTTGCTGTTCGTGACTTGAATTTCACGCCACACTTCACGGTTAAAAATAGGGTGATATGACGTAACTTAATCAAGCATCACGAAATCCCCCCTCCCCAAAATATCTATAGCTTCAGGTATTTGGTTCCACTTTCAAACGAAAGAAATACACAACTTAGGACCTTGTATTGAACGTCTTTTGATAACGGATACTCCTGTCCTCCCAGGACACATTTACACACCCACCATCAGAACAACACGGCTTCCAATCCTAGGCATCAAATGCCGCCGTCTAAACAATTTTCACACCTCCCATCCATTCTCAGCCGGCCGAAACTGGCTCTCAGACTGCAAAATTCCCTTCCCGTTTCACGGAGACATGTCAGCAATAGCGCTAGGAAAAGCTAGGACAAAGCCACAACCCACCACCATGCAGCACAGAAGTTCTACGTATATCACAGACAGCACAGCGGGGCAAAACAGCCGGTTTGGCACAGCGACGCACAGCGAGATTCAAAGGAGACGACACTAGGCTGCACTAGGTCACACAGATCGAACACAAAACACACACGAAGGCGACATTCAATAGAGGTGATATGGACGAGTGCAGCGATGAGATAATCGGCAAAAGAGGATCCTCATGGTAAATCAGGCACTTTCCTAATAGGGACATTATCAGTGAATGCACTCCTACAGATGACGAACAGCCAGGCGCTACATCAAACCTACATCACGATTTGTGAGAGCAACGGCTATTGGTTCGCACTGAGGTAAAGTAGCAATATAGACACAGGCAGATGCGGATTTTGATGCGTAGACCCACAACACACGTTATAACACGACACGCTATAAACAGCGTAGATATGTATTATGTCGGTACTGGTAGGCTACCAAAAATAGAACTTCTCCTGAATTGATATGTTATCAATCGAGGCAGCACAAAGCACGCTGTTGCCAAACTTTCTCTCTAATTTTCATGCCATTCTCATTTTTTTCAGTACTCTAACCTCCATCTTGACCCTGATGGATGCACTTCAGTGCGTAAGCATGGCTTAAATGAGCAACGAGTAGAAAGACGGTTCGTGTGCGCTTTCGTAGAGATTACTTGGATTCCACACAAAAACATGTTATGGCAAGACTACTATAACTGGCTGTTAAATCATCGTAACTATGAAAAAGGAACTGGCATCTGGGTTAGCTAAGTATTTCCCGAACCTCGGAGTCTGGCCGGGGTAAAGGTGGCGTAAAACCGACCAAATCAAATGTTAGAGATCGAATACATGAGTGCAGGGTTATAGCAAGAAATGCTACCTACGTGCGAATAACATAACAGCAAATTAAGCGGATAAACAAATAAAAAATGCCCAATTTCAAAAAGACTACACCTTCAATGCGGTATACGGAAAAGGCGGATGTCGATCAAACATATTTCCACATGCATCCCGGCCGGTAGTAGCAAAGAACTACAGAAAGTTGCACCAAGGCCTAGCGAAACCGTGGGACAGAATAACTTTTGCAGCTTAATCCCCTAAACTGGGATAAATGCATAGGGAGTACCGATAAGCCGGATTTACTACACTACGCGAATCTTATGAGATCGATATCTAAAATAGCTGCACGTCTCAAAACGTCGCAATGTTACGTTAAAACCTGTAACATAGATACACACGATGCACATGATATTTGTGATCCAAATAAACCGTACTAGCAACGATGAATCTTCTAAGGAAACATGGCATGCAACAGAAAGCAACACTGAATACACATAGACGCTGGGATCCTAAGAAAGTCGAAATAATGCCTATAGTACCGATCCCGGACAGCTGACACGTAGACCCCGCCACCGGCTTCCCACAGCGACACTGGACACACTGACAGACTCCGCTCGGCTCCTCCCCGGACACTGATACGGAGCACACGGCCCGCCGGTACGGCACTGATGGACAGCAGTCACTGTCCCACAAACCCACCGGGTGACGGCCGCCCACTCAGCCGAGAGACAAACTGGCAGTCAACACAGACACACAGCGTGATCAGCAGCTCCAAATGATCAGATCTGACACTGAGACCGTTGAACGGGGAGATTCGAGTCATTATAGCAGCAAACCTAGTCATTCAGGAGTCTCCCATGAAGATCGGTTGGGCTGAATCACCTCACGCGTTCTGCCAGCTGACCGGGTTCTAGTTTGACCATACCAAACATCTAGTATCTCGCAATCGCCAGACGCATCTTAAATACGAATTATGTTTAAAGTAGCGATATGAAGGACGGACCGGCGTCCCTCTCTGCCGGTCTCCATCCCCTCTGACCGGGCCGGACTGAGCGGCCGGCGCCCCTGCTGACCTGTGTCGGCGGCGGCGCGGGCGCCGGTCCCGGACGCCGCTCAGAGCAGCCAGGTGACGACCAGCGTGCCGAGCGCCACCCAGTGGCTGCTGTAGCCGAGCAGCGCCCACTTGCCGAGCGTGTGGCGCCAGCTGTAGCCGGCCGAGCCGGTCGGCGAGCCGTCGAACACCATGCCCAGGTAGGCCAGGTGCCAGGCGGCCAGCAGCGCCAGGCCGGCGTTCAGCAGGCGCACCGACCACAGCGCCGCGCCCAGCCGGTGGCGGCGGCACGGCTGGACGCACCGGCGCGCCTGCACGCAGCCGCCCAGCGCGTCGGCCAGCTGGGTGCGCAGCCGGTCCTCGGCGAACGTGTACAGGCCCAGCGAGAGCAGCACGGCCGACAGCTGGAAGTTGGCGCCGTGCAGCACCGCGCTGGCCACATAGGTGCACAGCACGGCCACCCAGACGCCGGCCGGCCGCGCCACGCGGAACACGTCTGAAACGAGGCCGCCGGGCGGCGGTCAGTCGCGGATCGGCCGGGGGAACAGGCTTCAGGGATAGACTTTGTCAGCTCACGTCAAAAGAAGCAAGCGATTTCCGACGGCATGGAACTGTACCGATCACACATCAAAAGGACGAGTAGAAGACACAGTTTGTGCAGAATATAGGTACTTACATGTTTTGAGCCAGTAGTGCATGGGCAGATTCCAGTTGACAACCACTTCGACCAGCGACCGTGGCGCCTCAATGGCGGTCGGCCGGCTAACTAGCAGTTCACCTCCGGGAGACCAGACTGCGCCGCTGATGCCTGAAACGAACGCAGATCTGCATTTTTCCGCGAAGATGCGCACGAGTTATGCAATGACATCGCCACCAGCCTAATCGGTTTACCATCTACACGCCTTAATCCTTCACGATGCACGCCTGAGATATTGCTACCCGGGTCCCGGAACCAAAGTGGGCATGCCTGCAAACGGAACATGCCGACGGCTTAGCGAGTCTGTTAGATGCAGGCAGATCTGCCTGACGATAACACCCGTTGCAGTGCGGCCCGAGACCGGGCGCAGAGCTCTCACCCGATATGGTGGCCGCCGCCTGGGAGACGAACGAGACAAAGTAGTGGCTGCAGCGGAACGCCAGGGCCTCCCGGTACGCCACGATCCATACGGTGATGCTGTCGGCGGGAGCGGGGCGTTAGTAGGGGCACTTCAAGAGTCAGGGATGGGAGAAGGGTCGGGGTAGGTATTCGACTCTTCAGCTACGAATTCAGAGACGATACTACATTGAATATCACGCTAAAAGCCGCGTACCAGAGGGTCCCGAGCGCAGGACAGCCGTCATATCTAGCGACAAGAGCACGCTCGCCGTGCACCCTCAGCCTGTGACCACTGGAGGCGGAGCACCAGACCGGCGGTGAGGACTGCAGCACTTACAGCACGGTCCGGTCGGGCAGCAGATAGTTGAGCCAGCACGTCGAGATGCTCATGAAGAGCAGACCGGCCACCAGACTGCCGACCGATGTCACCATCCAGCGTACACTCAGCAGCTGAAACGGACCGCGACGGGAGAGCGCTGAATGGAGGCGGGCGTACCGAGAGGAGGACTGACATACCTGACAATCAGGCAATGGGCTATGCGGTAACGTAGCTGCATAGCGTACATATAGTGCATGTCCTTTTTAGCAATGATACCTGCTATCAAATTGTTCATCTCGCTTGAAGCTTTTCTGTAAATCATGGCAGGACTATCTAGTACTCAGTAAGCTTGTTCATTATTCTTTATCACTCGACCCGGAAAATATTCACGACTAGGGTAACCACACGGCAATTACAACGCACCTTAACTTTTCAGCCATCACGACTCACTGCAGGATCACCAGTGACACACACCACCAGCACGGCGCGGTACGGCGCGGCACCCACCTCCAGTGGCCGGCTCTCCATTGAGAGCATGTAGTCGTCGAGCGCGATCCACGGTCCGAACACAGTGGTGCCCGGGTGCAGCAGATAGCCGGCGTACTGGAGCGGCCCGGGCGCCGGCCGGCTGCCCGGGGCGCCGGGCGCGACCGGGCCGCCGCCGACCACCGCGCCCGACAGGTCCAGACCCACCGAGACCGTCTTCATCACGAGGATCATCTGTCCGCCGCGCACAGTGTGCCACTTGTCGGCCGTGAAATACCACATCTCACTGAAACAGACACATACATCTGAATGTTACCGAAACTGACTCACATATCACCAAGATAGACATAGATACATCTCAATAAACCAAGCATTTCATCTGAAATAGCACAAACACGAGCACCCAGTTTGACACACTGCGACCCCGCTCCGACCTCAAACACAAACAACAGTCTGAAGGAAGACCAGACAGACTTGCGTCTACGAGCTGAAGTACGAGCAGTGAGCACACACCTAAACAAATGCATGCACATCGGAGCGGACCCCCCAGACCAGCAGGTCACTCACAGTGCACGGGTAGCGCTCGCCATGACTCACCAGGCGAACACGAAGGTGAGCGAGACGAGCAGGCTGAGCGGCGCCGTGGCGGCCGGCAGCAGTCGAGAGCTGGCTGCCAGCGCCACGTACGAGAGCGCCGCGTGCACCACGAACGAGGCGGCCAGCTCGGCGAAAAAGTGGTGCAGCACCAGACAGCCGATCAGCGCAGAGGCCAGGTGGGCGACGCGGGGCGCGCGGCCGCAGCCTGCCGGGGACGGCCACCGATCAGCGACAGCTACAATGTCAGGTCTAGAGCCCCTCAGCAAATAATTTGCGACAAGATCAGTGAAACTCATCCAGGGAAAGGTGATCATTTATGCCCGAAAAAAAACCTTTCGTATGAAACGATTTTCACCCAAAATGCCCTTCCCTTTGTGAGAAAGAACAAAAGCCCGAAGAAATAACCCCATCATAATAGGTATAACATATGATGTTTCTTGCAAATTTATTTCTGTGAACTTCTATGAAATACAAAAAGTCACATTTTTTAAATCAGATCAAAGATCAGATTAATCAACAATACTCACATAGTGCAACAACGATGCGCAGGACAAAGCACCAGAAGAGCAGTTTGCCGACATGTGCGATGGCGTCGTTGGCGGTCGGCACTACGCAGTGGTCGACCGTCTCCTGAAGCGTCAGACCGTCGTCGTTGAACTGCAGCTCCTCCGTGTCGTAGTCATAGTCCTCCGGCTCGCGCTCCTTGCTGTACTCGTACTCCCCCTCCTCCAGTTCCACTCCGTCCGCGTAATCCAGGTCTGAGTCCATGGTCTGAGGGCGTCAGATACAGCGGTTATCAGTTCGAACACATTTTGGAATTTAAAATTAACCATCGCCGTCGCCGACCATTCTGTATCCTGAGGCTCACGATAGCTAAAAATAATTCAGCTGGCTCATTCAACTGACTTCAGACTTCAGAGAGCTGAGCTATTTTCAGCTTAAAAAGCAGACAGACCAATCAAGTGACTTCACCAGCTGCCTGCTCCTGTTTTAAATCTACAAGTATGTAGCAATGCAAATCTCTCATATCGTCCCCCACCAGGTTTCAGTCATGTTACCACCAGCACTACAGTCCTGGCTGCTTTCAGTCAGTCCTGGCCTATATCACAGACAGACATAAATAGTCCTCAGCAGTCAGCCACCTGTGAGTCCCCAGTCCACGTCCAGTCAGTCCCATTCTCATCCCACCTTCTATAGAGCCTTGATCCCACCCCACTCCATAGTGATGGTTGTGCTGCTGTCTAGCTGATTCACAGAGCTGATACCAGTACTCTGCAGTGGCTGGAAAGTGAACCTGGACTCTAGGCAGAGAGGTAAATGCTTTTCTTCTCTAACACCCTCTCTCTGGAAGCTCATGAGCAAACAAAAGCTGATGCATTTTACATGAAATTGATTTCACAAAGTGCTTTGTTTGACTAGTTCAAGGCCATATATAGTAGGTAGCGACACTGAGCGATTTGTTTACAGCCAGTTTCGATCCTGATGACGCAAATGTGTCGTCACGAGACAAAACAATATGGCCACCTCTAATGAGAACCAAGTGCAAGAAGTTCCCGGATGTAGACAGCACTGACGTCACCGGGATCGAAACCGACGACATCAGTACTGGACCTATGGCGAAGCAAAGTAGTGACATCCCCCTGGACTAGTTGTGAAATGCCTTATGTCTCAGACCTTGAATTCACATTTCTTACAAACTTTTCAACCATGCTTATGAACAAATATCACCTAAAGGAAAGATATGCTGCAAACATTTAGGTCATGAAGTAGGTATAATTACATTACAAGTTTAACTTGATACTTCAACTTCTAGCTTTGCATATAAATGTATGATCTGATAGCTTTGACCATTGGTAAATACAGGAAATGCTGATTTTTTCACAATAAGTCACACAGATTTAAAGTTTAAACTCTGTTAGGGATGAATGCTTGAGATACTTCACTTGGGAGGGGACTAGGGAGTGGGGAATTGATAAAATGCATTAGTGCAAAAATATTATTAGAACGCCTTGATTAGAACTTAGTATGTACCTAAATGAATATTGAAGAAACACTGATTATCAATTACTTAGCAGCTTGACTGGAACAGTTATAAAGTGAAAGGCCAAGTTGAAGTGGCCAATCAAAATTCTGTACCTCTGAGCGAGTAAGTTATTGTCAAGCTTCCGATATTTGTTTTTACCTTCTGTAAAATTCAAGGCCTGAGATTAACTTCAAAACCAATGCAAGTGGGTGAATTAGAAGAGCTAAATGGGTACTACTTACTCAGAAAACCAAGCAACCGGGCAGACCGGTTCAGAGTTCAAAGACCTGACTTGGACTGGCTGACAAATTGAACCTAGACCTCTCGACACACTTGCACTACCTAGCTTAGAATGAAAGGATAATCAACATACGACATTGATGTTGATCATATGAACCTAGAAGTGCATCACAAGATCAAAAGATATAAAAAAATATTTCTAACATACCTACTTATAGGCCCTCCTCCACACACCGCGATGATCAAATGATTATTTACCTAACAGACACCCGGAATTTTCAGAATTTAGTGATCCCAACTGAAACAGCAGCGCAGTTTATGTCATATCATTTTTTACATAAATGAAGCGCTTGTTTCATTAAAAATTGTGTTCTAAAATCAAAATTCTGCAAATTTATAACTAAATAGAAAGTATTATTGACTAATTGCAACCACGAATGGTCCTCCTTTGGTGCATATGATATAAATAAAGAACAGATATTTTGGAGCCCCGTGTCGACCCAGGGATAAGCGATAAAATGTTAAAATGAAAGACACGTACCTATGTCATCTATTGGTGTCTGCTGATAAGAATTCATTAAGATTGTGTAACATTTGATCAAAATAAATGTTGGTCCTGTCTGATATTTTTACACTGTCACTTGTTTCAACCTAATCCACCTTTCTCTTTCAGTTTCAACATCTTGATCTCGCAAGCCATATCAATATCAATATAAATTGCAAAAGGTTCTCAAGATGAGGTATGCCCAACTTGTCATGGGTCCTGCTGGAAGTGGGAAGGTAAATATATTTATAACTCTGCATGCCTATATATAATTTACAGAAATAAGCACACAGAAAATTTATTTCGGGTGCGTGTCAGTGTCTGTCGAGTCTTGAAAGGTACCTAGTAGGTAGCTACTAGCTACCTAACTCACAATTCATAGGCATCATTTTCATTGTCTAGTGGTTGGGCTTTAATTATTTACTTAAGGATACCGATAACAGAAGTAATTCCAGCTTTATCTACTTTCTGCGCCCTCTAAAACTGCAGAAATTGGCAAGCTAAAAAGGTGAGAGGAAAGAACATGTCCTCCTTAGCCTGAAAGTGACACAGCACATCAATACTTACAAATATTTTTTTTTTACACTTAACATTTATAAGTCACTCCAGCCACATGTTTAGTCAGGTAAAGTAAGTCTTCATTATGTAAAGGTCAGTTAAATTAGGTTTTGTTATTCCACTTCCAGTGTACCTGTTTTTAGGAGTAAATGACAGTATGAACAATTTTTTGGTACATTTGGTTTGTGACAATATGGTGTGGTTTTTATTCAATTTTAAGCTTATGGTACAAAAGGGCAATTTCACTATCATTCCTAGCCTATCATGCAAAATAATAGGGCTAATGTAAAAATGTCTTGCTAAAATTATATTTATATACACTGCTACAAGTGCATGAGGTGAACCTGGTCCTGGACCCAGTTGCTGAGTACCTATGTGCCTACTGTGACCACCAGCCAATGATGGATGTGCACGAGCTGCTCCACTTGGACAATATCACATGGCTGTGGCCCTGCCAAAAGCTTCAGCAGCTATCCTGGCTGGGCTGTGGCAATAGGTGCCAAAGATGCCTATATAATACAATTCATATGATAGTCGAGCCCCTTAAAACATGATTCCTAGTGTTCTGTGGTGGGAGGGCAATGGCTATTCAATATTCATTGTTTTGTTTGGTACTTAGATAGGTGGGGAAGTAGGGTGTAGGTATCACACCCCTCAATTTTGTTGTCATGAGTTTTAGCTGTTGTATAGTTTTATGCCCTTCTGATGTTATTTTGGTCTTTTCGAAATCGACATTTTCATTCCATTCTACCTAATACGTTCTTTGATGTCATTGTTTATCAATACAGGTGTTCAGCACCTTTTCATTTGATCCTACTGGAATCTGTTTGCCCAACAGAGCACCTACTGCTCGGCGATGCAGAAGCATGCACAGACAGCGAAGCGGACGGTGCACGTGGTGAACCTGGACCCGGCTGCCGAGTACTTTGACTACCAGCCGACGGTGGACGTGCGCGATCTGATCCACCTGGACGACGCCATGGAGGATGAGGAGCTGCGCTTCGGACCCAACGGAGGACTCGTCTTCTGCATCGAGTGAGCGGCACACAAAGACTCGCAGGGCATATCGAAGTTGTGTAATATACCGTATGGCGCCCAACAATCTGTTGTATCGCGCTTGCCAACCTCTCCTAATGGACATATTAACCATATTGTGAAAATTAGCAACCCTTGTGAATAGGTTTTATTTTACCTTTTTACAAAGCGTCTCAAAATCATCCAATCCCATTCGTTCATTACGTAACAATGCTGATTAGATGGCGTGTCGGGTTACATAGTCATGCGCCGGTTCATCGCAATCATTCGTAGCTCAGTACCTAACCCTTGCTCAGGTTTTCCCAAGTGAATAAAGTACGACGCCATCAATTGATGCGAGATTGATAGATGAATCCATCCGTCCTATGTCGCACAGATACCTGATGAAAAACATGAGCTGGTTGGAGGAGCAACTCGGAGAAGGTGACGACGACTACTTCCTCTTCGACTGTCCCGGCCAGATTGAGCTCTACACCCACATGGATGCCATGAAGAACATCGTTGACGCGCTGCAGGTTACTAAGCTGCGCAATTTCACGGAGAGATACTGTACTCGGGCCCGTAACGTCCCACTCAGTACCATTTCCACCGAGTGCCGATAATATTTCATCGCCGCAATGCTAGTAGGTACCTAGTTAGTTAAATAACCGTGCAAAGTAGGTAATAGGTATCCATGGTTTGCAACTGATCGTCCATTCTCAGGAAACGGGCCGTTGCGCTACATTCACCGTTGACACGGTCCGATGCAACGCAACCAGCCGGTGAAGCGCTGGTTGAGACTGTTCCCACCATTTCTAGCTCTAACGGATGGTGTTGCGTCGCCAGGCGCTGAACTTCCGAATGTGCGGCGTGTTCCTGGTCGACTCGTCCTTCATGGTCGAGGGCAGTAAGTTCATCTCCGGCACGATGGCAGCGCTCAGCGTAATGGTGAACATCAGCATCCCGCACGTCAACGTCCTGACCAAGATGGACCTCCTCAACGCTGAGTCCCGGAACCAGCTCGAGAGGTAACTGGCGGATGAGGGAACGTTGCCTCTGGTTTGGTGTCTTATCTCATACTAAAATCGATTGGCAAATAAGCCTAAGGCTAAGAATAAAACATCTGGTTGGGACCAAGTATTAGTAATTACCATGAAATATTGAGAGAAAATGGTTCATGTAAGCGGCCGGCTATCGTCGAATGAATAACACACCGATGTCACTATGTCGCGTTTGTCGCCGAGATTCTGGCCGCTGATCCGGGCGCCTGCGGGCAGGTTCGTGGACCCGGACACGCGGCGTCTGATGGACTCGGACGGGTCGCGCTTCTCGGAGCGGTACCGCCGGCTGACGGCCGCGCTGGCGCGCGTGGTCGACGAGTACGGCCTGGTGCAGTACCACACGCTGGACCTACACGACGAGCTGAGCATCGGACAGCTACTGGCCGTCGTCGACAACGCCATCCAGTACGGCGAGGACGAGGACGTGCGCACACACGAGTTCGAGATGCCCGACCCGGACGACGGTGAGGCGGCCGACGAGCAGCTCAGCAGGTACCTGCAGGAACTGTGAGCGGCTCAGGAACTGCAAGAACCGTGAGCGACTCAGCAGGTACCCGCAGGAACTGAAAATTGGTCCACCAGCATCTCAGCTGGTACCTGTTAGGACTGGTAGCTGGCTGATTAGCGGCTCAGTAGGTCCCTGCAGGAATTGCGAGGATCTCAACAGGTACCTGCAGGACCAGCTATGAGCGATCTGCGAACAGCTCAGCAGATGCCTTCAGAAACCGTGGGCGACCGGCGATCTGCTAAGACATGCGGGAGCTGTGCGCTGCGGTTGCGGCGGTGTGTGACCTGTGATGCAGAGACGAGGCTGAGGCGCCTCGCTGACGACCGGCCAGGACTGTCACCGAAGGCGCCCTTGTGCTGTGAGAAGGATCGGCTGGTAGACGAACAGCGCGGCGTCCAGCAGCTGGCCCGTGGAGTAGACTGTGATTGATAAGTGTTAGAAGGGCGGCGAGCCTCGACTGTCCCGTGACTGGCGCGCACTGGGCGGCGAGTCACTGCAGTGCCATCCGTCGGTATCATCACTGTGTACAAACGCCGCGACGTTTTGTATCTGAGTGGGACGTTTTGATGGGACACAATCAGTGAACATATATAGTGTTATGTATTCGTAGCGCTTACAAGTGAATGGACATGATTTAAGTGTTCACAGCTGGTTTCAAGACTTGCTTGCATCGGTCGTTCGTCGGGCCGCCTGTCGCTGCTTGTGCTGCTGGAGGAAGCTCTGGAACGACTCCGTGTCATCCTCATCGTCCCGCTCTGAAATACAAACGGATCGTCAGTTCAATAATTGTCGGACAGGTCTCACTAGCTATCGGAACTGTCAAAAGACTGGCAAAATACAGGATATATTGTGCACAAGTTCTAGTTTAAAAAAGCAGTAATTTCGGTTTTAATCCTTTGAAAGAAGGTGGAGTTAATTATATTGCGGGCGCTTCTTTATCGGCCTTTTTAGTTCGCATTACTTTCTAAAATCTAATTTGAAGATAATATTGCAACTTAAATCACTGGCAAAAGTTGGTTAACCTCATACTAGGTCTAACGATGTAACTGCATAGTTCGTGCCAGCTCCTCGTACCTGTTTCCCCTCACATGGCAGGTCGGGTACCGGCGGTACAGGTGGCGATCCGTCCCTACTTGTGTCCCGCTCCCACCCAGGTGTCGGTCCCTCCCTGCCTGTCCCCGCTCCCCCGCCAGGTGCCGGTCCCATCCCTACCTGTCTCCCGCTCCTCCGCCAGGTCGTCGTCGTCGTCGACGCGCGCTGCCGAGCGCAGGGTGACGTCGCTCTCGACGGTGGCCTCGCGGTCCTGCGGCTCGAGGTCGGCCTCCAGCCGCTGCAGGTCGCGCCGCTGCCGGCCGCGCTCGGCCTGGTCGCGCGCCGCCCGCAGCCGCTCGTACTCGGCGCGGTACTCGGTGAGGTACTCGCGCCGAGCGTCGCCGACCAGCTCCAGCAGCCGGTCCAGCCGGGCGCCCGTCACCGCCGATACGCCCGTGCACCTGTCGCAGGCCGCGCGTGCCGACACGGGTGAGTTAGAGGGGTGACAGTGGGTACCTGCCGTGTCACACTATTGTGCAGCAGAGTAT